GAAAACAAAACCCCAGGACAAAACTTGAAGTTCAAGCGGCAGAGTTGCTACAAGTAACAGTGATATAATACATCATTAGAAATAACAGTAATCTAAACTTGGAAAGGGAAAAATACACATCATGCACTTCTCCCTATCAGACAGTAAAATTTTTAGAAGGCATGGGAAAATACAGTCTTAGGCATTGCTGGTGGAAGACAATTGGCAGGGTCCTTTTAAAAGGTGATGTGATCTATGAATGTTTTAAGTGTGTATACTCTTTGACATAGCAAATTTACAGTACGGATTCATCATACAAAAATACTTCTAGATGCCCAGAAGTCTGTATATATGAGGACAGTCATTGAATTCTATTGGTTGTAGTCAATTGTCCTAATTTGGGCACTAATTCCTCTGCATCACAATGCAGCGTCTAGTAAAACAGATTTTTTGTGAATATCAGTACTCTTAAAAATCTAAAGGAACAAGTGGCTTTTAATTTCAAAGAGAAAACACTAAAATTTTGATGATTTTGAGAAACTGTGGCAAGCATAGTGTTGGTTGAGAAATAATCTGAGAATTTGTTGTGCTTTTTATCTTTGTACATTCAAGTATTCTTCTCATTAAAAATTAGAAAGTGTGAATGAGATAGAACAAATGAGAAACACTGATCTCTGAGAACACCTCTATAGTTAATAATGCTCTACGTAACTTCAAAACTCTGTTTGCCCAAGATATTTCTGCAAAGATAAGGCAAGTATACTGTCTGACAGAGTGAGAATGGTATGCTATCAACTGAGCTTTCTGATTTTGAAAGTGGTTAATATGTAACCAGCTGAAATGTCCTTCATTATCACTACTGTTAGGAACTACAGGTGGCCTATGTGTAACAATTGGTGTGGTTGGAGAAGCTACCTTCAGTTCCCGGCAAGCACTGCAGGGGAATCTTTCACAATCCAGAGGAAGCTTTTTTTTTCTATTTATTTTTATTTAGGCCCTTGTACCTCCTAATCTTATCGTCCCCTCAATTGCCAAATGATCCTCCTTTGTTCTGCATGGCTGTGTTTCACTGCGCTTTGCTCCACCACTTTCTTTTCCGTACACTGCCTTCCGTCTTCCCCTTACTTTCTTTCTTCTCTTACCCCTTTACCCTCAGCTTCCTAACAGTAGTTATTTGCTAAATACTTCAAAATTGTATAGAACTTGTCCAACTTGCGTGCTCTCATTCTGTCAAGGACGTGTTAGGCAGGTGGCCTACCTTTCTTTCTTGGGATGCTGTCCTACATCAAAGCCCAGAGCAGGTATGAAACAGCTCTCTTCCTCAGTCTTTAAGGTTCAAAACATAGTCATTTTGATTGGTACAGTAAGGTTACAGATTTTAAAACTGTTACATATAGCATCTTGTGTAAAACTACCCCCTTGGAGCTTACAGGACATACATTTCTTTTATTTAAAAAAATTTGGAGAGAGGTAATTAGGTTGGTTGGTTTGTTTATTTAATGGAGGTACTGGGCATTTGAACCCAGGACCCTTGTGCATGCTAAGCATGCACTCTAGCACTGAGCTATACCCTCCCTCCAGGAGAGATATTATTAACCCCCTATTTATTGGTGAGGAAGCTGAGGCTCAGAGAGGTTAAATGACTTATCCAGAACCATAGAATGAGTCAGAACTAGCACTCAGGTATCCTGACAACTGATCCAGTCTGTTCTCTTTTTACCCTTTGAGTTCATTTTCTGGCTTCCCCAGAAGAGAAAGCTCTATCTTGGTAAAAGGAGCATTTTAGATAAAATTTTCCTCTTTATCTGTGATTATACTGAAGTGGTGTCACTTCTCTTGGGGATAATTCCTCCATCCACACCATGCACCCACCTCATGCATCCTCAGAGTCCTCTGCCCTGGGATTATGGCTTCCCAGTTCCGATGTTCAACCCCTCCCCTTTCATTGATCCTCCTTCTCAGCACTCATAGGAGCAACATTTCAGTTAAACTTGTTCAAGTCTCTCTCTCCTTAAAGAAATGTCCCTCCCACCCCAAAACCTCTGCTGGGTACCGCCCTCTCCTTCTCTTTCCTCCACACAAGCTTGGAACAGGCTCTTGTTCCCTAGATTCTCTCCCTCCCCCTGCAGTCGGGTTCTGCCCCACACAGACACTTAAAGCTGGGTCCCCATGTTCTTCTCATCCCTCAATTCAACAGAACAACGATCATTCCATCTGTTATTTGATTTCACAACGGCATTTGACATGAATAGCCAGGGATTTAGCAATAATCTTTACAGATCATCTTTGTAATTTATAAGGCACCAAATGAATGCTATTACTGCTATTGCTCCTTCCTTCTTTAAGTAATGAATCTTGCAAATAAGTAGGTTTTTCTAATTTCTTAAAAACAATTTAATTTCTGCTATAGTTTGAGTCAACATATTATAAAACTAAACAAGCTTTCGAAATGATTTTTTTTTAATTTTGTATGTTATTAACACTGATGTCTCGGTATCAAGCCCCAATCACTCTGACTAGTAAAAACCTTCTCTTGACTATTTTTTTAAAATTGTCCCTTTTTTGGGACTCAGAGGTCCCACACTCTCCTGACTGTGTTTCTCTCTCGGTCTGGCCGTCCGGGATCCATTCGGGTGCCCATGGCCTAGACACTGGTGTTTCCTGGAGCTCCTACTGTATAGCACAGGGAACTACATTCAATACCTTGTAATGACCTATAATGAAAAAAGAATATGAAAAGAACATATATATGTATATATAAACTGAACCACGATGCTGTACACCAGAAATTAACACTGTAAATTGACTATACTTCAACAAAAAAAAATAATAAAAGCAGAAAAAAAAAGAATACCCTAGCTCAAAATGCCATTATTTCTCACCCATATAATTGTACCAACTCCCACGTTGCCTCCTGGATTGCCTCCTTTCAATCAGTCTTCCAAATATCAATAAGAGTGATCTTTCCAAGAAGCAAATCTGGGCAAGAAGTCACTTCACTGATTACTCCCTTAACACCCAGATAGTGCCAACAAGTTCCTTTTTTATTTGAAGCAAGCTTGCTCCACCACCTTCCTAAGTGTAAAGGCATTTTCTCCATACCAAACCCTTCTCATTCTACTAAATGTGTCCCTACTGTTCTCGCCTCCTGCGCCTTTGTTTGTGTCATTCCTTATGTGCTTAGAATGCACTCTGCATCTCTGTCTTTCCTCTGACTAACCACTACTCATGCTGCAGACCTTCATTTATATTTTTCTTTTCCTTAGACTTCCCTTCCCAGGCCCAAGGTTGAATTACGTGCCCCTCTCATGTGCTCCCCGAGCATCTTGAACTTCTCTGATAATGATGTCTGGCTTCTGTATTTTAACAGCTTGCTTATTTGTCTGATTTCACACCCACAAGAATGTGCATATCTGTTTGTACATATTTGACCATTCCATCTCCATGATTTTGCATGATACCTAGACAAACTGGGCTCAATAAATGCTTATAAAGTAATCAAATCATTGGGTAAATGAATGGATGGATGGATGGATGGGTGGATGGGTAAAATAGATAATATGATTAAAGACTGGAGAGGAGTAGTGTATTCGGAAGGCAGTCACAAAATGTGCTTGTATAGTAGATGGTAAAGGCACTGAGATTTTCGTAGACACAGTAGGTCAAAGGTTTTTTTTTTCAGGTCCTGCTACTTCTCCTGTCATGTTTTCATTCTCTTAGTACAGGAAAACTTTTCTATCATCCTTCTTCCAGGGCCTGGTTCTTCATCTGCAATCCAGTAATATCCTCAGGGTTAAAAACTTGTTCTTTTAACCCAGTATCATTTCCATAGAGAACTGCTAAATTCTGAAACCCCTTCAGCATTTGAGGTAGGCATAGCCAATGACAGACTTGCAGGCAGACTGACTTGTAGTGAAATATCTATTTTGAGTCTGTCCAGGGTTGCTTAAATTATAGCTTCCTCTGTCAGCTATTCATGCAAGAGATGTGAGGAAAGCCATAAAAGGTACTGTGGGGAAGTGGAAGGAGGGAGTAAGGGAGAGAAGGGGCTGAACAGCTGATTAGCTGCTTTACGGTAAACCCCAGGGAAAGTGAGCACTAGTGGGAATGTGGATTTTATCCCTGCAGGAATCCTACTTAGCCTGCCAGGCATTAACCTTGACTGTAATTGGGTCCCTCAGAGTAATGACGTTTTCAGAGAACCTTCAGGGACCTCTACTTTGTTTAGACACCTTGTGTGGGTGGAACTTCCTGTTTACACAGAGAGCAGCATAAAGCCTGGTTGCTCTGAGGAATGTTTGGGACCAGACCAGACCAACTGCAGGGAGTAAGGGACAACACAGCCAGGTCTCCTCCGGCCCCTTCTCCCTGCAGCATGGGGAGGAACAAACTCCTTCAGCCACGGCTTTCTCTCCTTCTTCTGGTCTTCCTGCATGCAGAAGCCTCAGTCTCTGGAAAACCGTGAGTTTCATGTAGAGTCCTTTCCTTTATTTCAAATTCTCCTTTCTATCATTCGTCTTCCCCATGAAACTGTCTCATCTCTAAGGTCTCTTCCACTGATGAGATTTTTACAAATCTGGTTTATTCAGTCTTTACTTATTCTTAACCACATTTCTCTAACTCTCTGGGTCTCTGAATCTACCAGTTCTCTGGAGATATACAAAGGCTTTTGAAAGGGCACTGGAGATTGATACTTTCAAAGGAATCAGTTTTTAGCTCCTCACACTCACCCTGATCATGCTATTTAATCCTTTCTTACCTCCCCTTTCTGAATTGCCCATCTTCTACTTTAAAAGAGAAAGACAAACCTCCCTCAGTCAGATGCCACCGTGGAACACTGTCCTGGAGTATAAAAGCCTCTAGGATGCCAAATAAAGGAGCAATTTGAAATACTGATGTTGACACTGAGAAAGCAAAGGACTCTAATGACAGGAGGCAAACTCCTTTTGCAGATCATGTGGTGACGAAATCTTTGTTTGAAAAAAATTGGAGGATCTGAGAGAAATACCAGCTGATAGATGATTAGAAGCAATTCTTTTTTTTTTACAACTTCTTTTTTTTTTGTCTTTTTTTTAACATTTTTTTTATTGAGTTATAGTCATTTTACAATGTTGTGTCAAATTCCAGTGTAGAGCACAATTTTTCAGTTATACCTGAACATACATATATTCATTGTCACTTTTTTTCACTGTTTGAAGCAATTTTTGATAACAGAACACTGGGTGATTTGGGGCAGGTGACGCAGAAGTTACAAGAACTAGTTAACGGTTGTATTATTGTGTCACCTGTCATTTATTTACTTTTGTGTGAATAATTTTTCATGGCACTTAACATCTACATAAACCAAAAATAGCAACAGAATGAATCTTAGATCTTGTTTAATTCTTGCAATAAAGAATATCCATTCATGGATACAGAAAATGAACTTATGGTTACCAGGGGTAAGGGGGTGGGAAGAGATAAATCGGGAGTTCAAGATTTGCAGATACTAACTAATATATATATAATAGACAAACAACAAGTTCATGCTGCATAGCACAGGGAACTATATTCAATATCTTGTAGTAACTTATGGTGAAAAAGAATATGAAGACGAATCACATGTATGTTCATGTATGACTGAAGCACTGTGCTGTACACCAGAAATTGACACAACATTGTAAACTGACTATACTTCAATAAATATATATATGCAAAAACAAACAAGACAAAAAAAAAGCTCATTGTTTTCATTAAAGATGTGCTTCAAAAGTATTTTGATTTTATGCATAATATATATGAATCATAATCTGTAATATATTTATTTTGTTTTGATTAGTTGTATACTAGTAAGACTTCTGAAAATAATTCAATCCAGAAGAAAATGTTTAACATTAACAACTTTATGGTCACATTAAATCTAAAAGAAGAGTTAAAGTTAAATTTATTTATCCACATAGAATATTACATATATATGTGTGTGTATATATACATATATGTGTATGTATATTTATATATCTATATAATAAGTAAATAAAGAAGTAAGAATGATCCAGAAAATATTTTGAAGTACAAAAATCTTAGGATAAACTTCTGTGTGGTAAGGGGCATGATAATTCAAGTTCAAGGAAGAAAAGGGGGAAAGATGCTAAATTTCTGATCACTGCCAAAAAAAACACTGTGGTACATTTTTTAAATAAGTCATACTGGGTATCTTATCACTGATATTTAAAATTCCATGGAAGACTTGTAAAAGAGTAATGTAAGTATTAACTTAAAATATCATCAAAAATAATGTATTTTGCTATTGTTTAACTTGTGATTTAAAAAAAGATCTTTACTTAAAAATATGTAAGGAATGTATAATGTCTAAAATTTATTTTAGGAATTCTGTGACCAAAAATGTCTGGCGACTACAGGATCAATAAAATCATCTATTTGTCTAGCCATGAGTTGAAAGGCAAATATTTAATATGCAAACATCTAGGGTTAAGTAACACACTAAGATCTTATTAGTTGCTTAAAACACTGAGACTTTAAACTAATGACTCTCATTAAGCTTCAGATTTCATATCTGTAAAGCGGAAAGCAAATACTTGCCGTGCCATTTTCACAGGGTTGTTGAATGTATATATTTTTTCAATGAACAATTCTGTAAATTGGTTTTTGTAGTGCCACAAATGAGAACTTCCTTGCTTTTTACAGCAACCCTAATGTAAAATGGATTTACAGTGTTAATAAATATACTTGGCATATTTTTATTTGAATTCAGATGCTTATTTGGGTTCCTTAAAAGTGAGCTATACCTACAAGTTTTAATCTGCCTAAGGCTCACTTCAAGTAAAATGGTCACAGCCAGGGCTCTGATGATGGAAAAGGGAATAACTCTCACACGTGCCATTCAACTGCAGAGAGCAATTTCACGCTAATCAATATGCCTTCACTTGGCACAGAACTAATGATGGTAACATGAACTGCAGGGGAAGACAGTGCTGCTGAGAACAGTGCCTCACTTGCCACACTCTCCTCTAACTGGACTCCCGCTCTTCCAGGCACTATATGGTGCTGGTCCCCTCCCTGCTCCACACTGAGACCCCTGAGCAGGGCTGCCTCGTTCTGAGCCACCTGAATGAGATGGTGACTGTAAGCGCCTCCTTGGAGTCCCTCAGAGAGAACAGGAGCCTCTTCACTGACGTGGTGGCAGAGAAGGACTTATTCCACTGTGTCTCCTTCACCGTGAGTATGGCTGTTTGGCTTAATATACTTGTTTTCATTGTCCAGGGACACAGGGATCTAGAATTCAGTCAAGATAAGACTTTGAGAGGCTGCCAAGGACTTCAGGAAGGGATTTAAATGCAGTGATGGGGTGTAGAAAATAAGAGCAATGCATGAATTTCCAACCACGATAGACGGTATTCATGGAGACATTAAAAATCAACTTAATGATCAGAGAAAATTCCTATTAGCCAGAAAAAAAACAGCAGTATGCACTAGACAAAGGGGAAATGTGACTTCTACTTAAAATTAAAATGGAAACAATATCAATAAAGCAAACAAGGCCGATATTCAGCATAAGCCCCAGTGGTGGGCTGACAGGACCACGTCACCCCATTGTCTAAGAGTGAAACTGTAGACCTCACCATGAGCAAGTATGCAGTATCTCTTCAGAACTGCCCATATGTAAAATGCTCACAGCCTATGAGAGTCCAGTGTATAATTGAATCCAGACTGTATCGGCTGGTCTGTAAGGAGATGTGGGTCTCATTTATGACGTCTCTCGCTGATGTATTTTCCTCCATCTTGTGTTCTGTCTTCCCAGTCGTAAAATGACAGAAGTCATTCTACCCGTGAATTCCTGTCTATGCTAACTTTTCTCTTCTGAGGCTGAGAGAATGAAATTAAGCTAAAGGGAGAAGTGGGACAGGGACTTGGGGAGGAAACTTGGGAGACTGAATGGGTTCTCAAGATCTCTCCTATATTTCAGGTCCCAAGATCTTCATTCAAAGAGGAGGTAATGTTCCTCACTGTCCACGTGAAAGGACCAACCCATGAATTCAAGAAGCGGACCACAGTGCTGGTTAAAAACAAAGAGAGTCTAGTCTTTGTCCAGACAGACAAACCCATCTACAAACCAGGGCAGACAGGTACAAAGAGGCCTATAGTCAGGACAGCTCAAAAACGAAAGGTCCCCCTCCTCTGCGTATTCCTCAAAGGACTCCTGATTCCTTAATCGTTTGTCTTACTTGCCTATAGGGCTGGTTCAAGGCTTTTGAGATTCATGGAAAATATTTCTGTTTCAGTGAAGTTTCGTGTTGTCTCGTTGGATGAAAATTTTCACCCCCTGAATGAGTCGGTAAGTCTCTTAATATCTATATAGAATTATTATTATCTATATAAATAGGCTGGGAGCTTGTTTTTGGTGTTGGAGGAGGACCAGGGAGAGAAAGAATCTGGTATTTATAACAGCAATTTCTGGCATTACCATAGGGCAAAATCACAATTTAAAACAGTCTTCTGGCCAAGAGAGAGTAGTTAGTTCTATCTTGGTAGTGGTACTTAGCCATTTGTCACACAGTTCAACCAACTCTTTAGAAAATTCTTAATGAGGCATGTATCCATCCCTATTAGAATGTAAGCTCCATGAAGGTAGATATATTGTTGTTTTGTGTGTTGCTGTATTCCCAGCACCTAGAATTACATACAGCATGTGGTAGGCACTTAATAAATATTAGTTTTAAAAATGAATAAACAATGACAGTAGAGGAGCTATTCCTATTCCTCCTTATTCTTAGAACTACCTAAGAATACTGTGACCCACCGTAACATTTGGATCTGAACACGGTAACTTATAGCTCCATTAGTGTTTATTTCTCAGTCTGTAGAACAGCATAGCAGTGTTCTTCACTGGGATGCTTACAAGCATTTAAGTGATATTAGTAAATCCCATTCCGAATGAATGGCACGTATGCATTTGCTGCTGACAGCCCAGTAAGTGCTTAACATTATTCATTAATTGCTTATAATGGATTAATTAAAAGTTCTGTAAAACTTGATCTACCATTTGTCTGTGTTTTACTGCAGATAAACTTATTTATTCTACATAAAGCGGTCTTGCTTATAAATTAGAACTGAGAATATTTCAGAACAATTCTCAATTCCTTTCTTCCTCTTTTGTCTTTCAGAGTCCACTAGTATATATTGAGGTAAGCAATGTGAAACATTCCATAATTAGACATAAAGTAATAAATTCGAGGAAAATGTTCTTATTTGAGAGAGTCTTACAATAGTTCAGAAACGTGTTACTCATGGAGAAGCCTTCAGACTCATGTAACACTAGGTGGTTCTGATCTTCCCGCCCCGTCCCTCATCACCTCTTTGTGGACAACATAGGAGCCCCCATAGATTTCCTTTACTGTCTCTAATGCTCTAGGCTCTTTTGTAAATTACAGTAACTGTGCCCATAGGACCCCAAAGGAAATCGCATCGCACAGTGGCAGAACCTCAAGCTAGAGAATGGCCTCAAGCAATTGACCTTTGCCCTCTCGTCAGAGCCCATCCAAGGCTCCTACAAGGTGGTGGTACAGAAGGAATCAGGTGGAAAAGCAGAGCACCACTTCACTGTGGAGGAATATGGTATGGATTATGAAAAAATCATGGAACTTTTTTTTTTAATTTAAACTTCAAGGGCCTAGAATTTGAGCAGACTTGGAATTCTTCTGTTTCCCATGGGTGAGCTTGGGCTTGGAGCTAATCTAATCTAGCTTACGTCTAAATTCAATGAGGACCATCAGTGATTTGTGAATAGGACTTCATATAGCTTTATGTAGCAATTTTTAATCTGAAAAAAATGTAAAACACTCTTACTCTAGTGGCGTCTTCCATAATTCATTTAGGTTACACTGATCCACCATAGTCCTTCAACCCAGGATTTCCATTTGCGAGTACGGTGGATACGCTGGAGAAGGGGGCTACCTTTCGGGGCCCTGAAGTATTACTAGGGAATTGTTACTGAGAACCTGGAAATACCAGTTCCCTGAAAGGTGAAAACCAATCACGACTTCCTTTATCTCCACGAACAGTGCTCCCTAAGTTTGAAGTGCAAGTTACAGTGCCAAGGATAATCACTATCTTGGAAGAAGAGGTGACAGTGTCAGCGTGTGGCCTGTGAGTTTATACTTTTAACAAATCTTTTGAGGGGAGTGAATTATTTAAAGGAGGCTCACCGTTGGAGCTATTTTGGCTGGCTTGTTAGGAGCAGAACAGCACAAATACCTTCCATACACGGGCGCACCCCCATCTCTAGAACTGTCCTCTCCTGCTGCTTTTCCATTTTCCTTCTTATTCCCTTTCATGTCCTTACCAGGATTATTACAGCTATCATGGGGAGAGCAACTGTTCCGAGAGAGGCTATGCTACTAGGGTGGATTCTGAAAGTAACAAAGTTAGTCACGCATGTGCACGCACACACACACAAATGAGACAGTGTTGAAGGGTAGTGACTTTCCCTTCACCAGCTTGTAGAGAAAATTCAATTAACAACAGATCATTTACCTGACCTTGCATACATAGTGGAAAATGGCTTACATTCAGAACCGGCAGAGATAAACATATTACAGAAATCTCACCTAATCTCATCCACTCATGCACCCACTGTTCAGATGGGTCCCTGCCTCAGCACTGTCTTGAGAAACCCCTGCCAAGTTCCTGATCCTACGTAGCTGGTGAGCCAATACTCTTGCAAACAGAGATACAGACGAAATCTCAAATAGGGAAGCAATTATCAATGACAGATTTAGGGCACAATCCCATTTTTGTCAAGAGTAAACAAGTACAATTCTATATGAACAGAGGAGGGATGGTGGGAAGACAGATAATAGTTTATATTTTTAAGTAGAACTCAGTGTTTCTTCTCTTTGCTTTGTTCGTATTTTTTTTTCTCTCTTAAGAGCTAGTGTAGCTTTGGCAATAAGAAAAATATTTTTTAAAAAATGAAACTGAAAATTAAAGATTAAGAAAAAAGATATGGTAAAAGAAGACTGCAGGAAACTTCAGCATGTTGCACTAGAAATTTATAAAAGAAAAGGATCATTGCTTCGTTTACTTGCCCTCAACACTGTATGAGCCCTGCAGAAGTTGAAGGGAAGCACAGGGAGTGAAAACATACCATTGCTAAAGGGGAACCGTAAGTAGGTGGACAATGGGGGTGTTCAGTGTCTCATTTGATTTATTTGGCAATGTTCTGGTGACAGATACACATATGGGAAACCTGTCCCCGGACATGTGACGATAAGCATGTGCAGAAAGTACAGTAACCCCTCTGACTGCTTTGATGGAGAGTCACGTGCCATCTGTGAGACGTTCAGTCAGGAGGTATGTGGGAAACTTTTCGTTCAAGGCATTGTTGATAAGCAGTGAGTTACAACACGGGGCTAACTCAGGAAGAGACCCATCTATGAGAGGATTCTATGCTAATGACAATAGTTTTTGAAAAATTAGTGACTTAGCACAATAGGAATTCTTCCTTGTAACTGTCCGTTGTGAGTGTTTTTGGCGCACCACGCCCCCAGAATAACGGAAGTCGCGCCATCTCCAGCACCTGGTATCAAGCCGCCTTGAGAATCCAACTGGGTAAAGGAAAGAGGGAAACATACACACCTTAGCCACCTCGGCTGGGAAGGACGTCAACTTTTCTCTTTCTATGAGCCACGCTTGTCATATGCCCCCACCTAGATGCCAGAGAGGTAGGAAACACAGTCCTCAGGTGGGCAGGCACTTCCCAGCAATAGCTCCAAACTATGGGAAGGGAGCCAGACTTCAGTGAGGAGTTGGCTGCCTGCTATAGTAAGATTACCCCCAAATCTTACAGCATTTCACTCTCATTCACTCTACAGAATATCAGATATTAAGGAATACACTTGTGGATTATAAGCCAGAAACTGTTGCAAGATGTAATAATAATTAATCCCTAGAAAATGTGTATTGTGTTCTTATCATGGAAAATTCCAAGGTTATGCTGCCTCAAAAAAGAAAAAATCCCACCAGATTGACCACTGATGTGTCCAGTCTTATGTTTTTGTATTTTATTTCGTCCTCTCCCAGCTAAACAGCAAGGGCTGCTTCTCTCAGAAAGTAGACACCAAGATCTTCCAGATGAAGAGACAAGGATTTGAAATGAAACTTGAAGTGGAGGCCAAGATCCAAGAAGAAGGAACAGGTTTGTGTACACAGTGTAATTTTGGGAGAACGAACAATGGACACTGATTCATTTCCTTTGCGAAATTACGAGTCGTAAGGGGGAGGTAGTGTACATTCAAGGAGAGCATCCTTCCAAAAGAGAACTTAATTCCTCCTTCTTTTTCAGAGGTGGAATTCACTGGAAGAGGGTCCACTGAAATAACAAGAACCATAAGCAAACTGTCATTTGTGAAAGTGGACCCGTACATTAGACAAGGAATTCCCTTCTTTGGGCAGGTGAGGTA